GCTTCCGTCTTCCCCTCCTCCAAGCACACCAGGCTCCGCAGAACAACATCATCCTCGCTGAATCGGATGACAACGACCTCGAGGACCTCGGCGAAGAAGATGTTGAACAGCAGTGGGGATAGCACACATCCTTGTCGCACGCCCTGTGTCACGAAGAACCAGTCCGATAGTTCTCCGTCGTCCATGCGCACCCGGGTCCGCATTCTATCGTGGAATTGGCGGATGACTTCATATACCATTGACGGAAAACCCGAGAGATGAGTATGGCATGAACGTCCATGCCAAGATTTTGACATGGAGGAGACAAAACTACCCCGTCCCTTGTACCAAAACGCCATATTTTGGGCCATACAACCACCAAACAATTGGCCAGTTTTGGCGGCACCACAACAGTAACAGCCACAAGCACGCGCTGAGGCCGACAGACGTGGAAAGGCAGGGCCAGCTCTATAGGGAAGACTGTCTCTACTACCAAAGCCGAAGAGGACGCGCCAATCGGCCGTCTGAGAACAAGAAAATCATGCTGAATCTCCTGGCTGTATCTTTGGTCTCTTCTTGGTCTCAGCATAGCACAGCACAGCTTTGCCTTCCTCTCCGAAGACCAGCAGGTGTGTTGTGCTGGTGGTGGAGTATGGGTGGTACGTGAGATTGCTGGTGCTGCTGTAGTAATCGCCGTCGACTGAAGCTTTTTGGAAAGTTGTTGTGCTACTTGCGCGCCTGCGCGCCTTGATACCGTGGCTCTAAAGACGAAAACATGCTTCCATGTACTCTGTAATAGTCTACTGCTGTGTACTGCTGTAGTGTAGCACGAAAGCAGTGGCTGCTGCTGGAAAGCAGTAATTTGTTGGCTGTCACAGCTGGTGCTTATAGTTTTTGAATATTGCACTGTAGCACTAGACTAATGCAGCTATTGCACTGCTGTGTAGCACTGCTGCAGCTAAGAACGATGTGCACCCTACTTGCTTGAATAGCAGGAAGAATACTAAATAACGATCAAAAAGTGTACGCGCACATCACCGCTGAGTATGCAAAGGCGATTGCCGCAAAAACAAACATGCATATCAAGTACTAGGGTAAGGTGGCCGCCCGCCGTAGGCGGCGGAACGGCCACCCGGATATACGCACGAAGAAGGCCAATGAATGATTTGTGGATGTGAAGCGCGGGAAATAGAAAGGAGGATGCAGGTTATGTCTATTAAAGGAGGATGTGTCAATGATGATACATCCCGCGGCTTTGGTCACGACTGCAATTGAAACGCAGTGACATATGAGTGGCGATGAATGTGTAATCCTCATCAATTAATGAAAAGATCATTGGAAAGTATGCAGGGTGGGCAGGCGGATGAAAGTCTCGGAAAGAGTCATCGGAGACGCCGCACTCTTGTTTCTGCAACGGAGTATTGGTTGTGAGTGTAATGTGCTCCTTGATAAGAGTCAATGGTGAAAAGAGGAAGATGACGGTGTTACCCGGTGTACGAAGAAAGTGACGAAGATGATGTCGTGATAAATTGGAAAAGAAAATCGAAATCGTGCAAGAAAGAATCGGAAAAGCCCTGAAGATGGAAGGGCAAAGAGCAGAAAATCCTCATTGCTATGCAACAGCGAAAGA